TATAGCTCAAGCTCGTGTTTTGTACGTAACAACCACACATTGTCGATGTTACTTTCTAGAAAATATTCCGAAAAGTTTATTGACAAGTAGAGAGTATAAAATATTTATACCAAATGGAAAAATGTAAGATAAAATCAGAAACTGTAAAAAAATCTTTAAGGTTGTTACTTCTAAAAGTGTGTAATATAATCTCACACATTTTTCTTGAGTTTTTTCATTTGTAATTACCCAGATATCGTTAATAAATCATGAAAAAGTATTGCATTGATTAAGATTATGGTTCTACTTCTACACTAGAAAATAGTCATTTAATTCGCTTTGGTTGGAAAGTACTTTGGTAGTCAAAATGGGACGATATGGGTTTTAGACGCGGAACCCATAAGTGTCCATTTTGAGCAACTCAGTGTTACTCGACGTATAACTAAAGAAAATTGGAGCTGACGAATAAAGTGCAGTGACTCCAAAAGCTTTTCTTGAGCTAACTAAATAATTTTGTCAGTTTTTTGAGGAAAGTTGCAAATGAAGTGTAAAAAGCCACAGCTGCATCCTTCCTGTCAGAAATGTTCTTGTTTAAAAGGCTAAAATTAATAAAATATGACCAAATGTCAGGGCTTATACTAGAGCTTGTGTATATTACAATTTGCATATGCAAGTTTATCCTATTAGAATGTTACCAATACTGTAAAATAAACCCCTCGTRAAACTGTCTCATCTTTGAAAAGGACTTCTAAACACGTAAAGGATAGATAACATACTCATCTTAAACCAATATTGGCTCACACGATACAAAATGTTATATAAAGTATATTTACACGCCCATTTTTGCAAAGATTATGAATCACGCATCGTTTCTTTGGATCTAAAACACAATGTTTTTCAATTAAGCATTAGAAGATGGTTTCTGTGTTTTCATTCTGTGTTAAAACACGCAAGATTGTTGGGAGAATACGAGAAAGGTTTTAGATCACGAGCTGAAATAGCCACAACTCTTCGCTTGAAAGCTGTGTCTCTATGCTCTATTTCAACCAATCAATGTGCACGCTATACAAGTTTTCTGTTATAAAACCTTAGCTAAAGAAGTCTATTAGAGTAGGTCTCCGTCATAACGTTTTTCAAAAAGAAATTAAAGCTACCTTTTCCGTAAAATAAATACCAGGAACTTGCTCAAAACTGGCTTTAAAAAACCTGTTTGTTAAAATAGTATCTCTTGATTTTTAATGTTATTATTTCGAATTCGTAAACAGAATTGTCTAATTTAGAAACACTAACGTTTGATCAAAACTCAACGTCCAAATTCTAATGTCCTTACCAATATAAAAAAGAAGTTTAAAGAGTAACACATATAGATAAATCCTATTAAACTCAAATATGTCAAGACCACAGAATTTATGAAACATTCACAACTAAATCATGAAAAAATATCATTGAAAAATACACAAATCCATTTATTTTATGTAAATTAAAAAAAATGCCTTAAACTCCCGTTGTAACCTTTGTATAAGAATTTGTACAAGATGGCGGAAGTATTGCTTAAAAACACATTACTTTAAGGACATGCCGAGCGCGCAACACAGAACTCTTTCATATACAATTTATACTTTTTAGAAAAGATTGTACGAGAATATATTGCCAATTTATACAAAAGATACATTGTAAAAATGGTTCTCAAATAACATTCCTTCATAACTGCGTCAATTACCACTGTAAAAATTGTCACTACTTAAAATCTAATAGAATAATATGCACTTTCAATCCTTACGTATCTTTTAGAATTTCGTTCAAAAAATCTATCAAAGTTATAGTCTGAAATGTTATCATTTTCTGAAGAATTCTTTTTGGGATCTTTTAGTAATTCAACTGCGTAATTGCTTCACTGTTTTTGCGCGAATTATTTTATCAAAACATAATTTCCCATATATACCATCTCAAAACATATATAAAAGATATATAAGATATACAATGTATATGTAATGTACATACTTGTGTTTTGGTGAACTCGTACCAACGACTTGTATCTTGAAGGTCCTAGAACGTTGTGAGGTACCGGGCTCCCAATGGCTTCTTATAAAGCCCACAGACCGCGCATATTATCTGATAAGCTTAATCAATTCAGACATTACGTCTACTATAAACTCTTGAGGAAGTGACATATCAYTACTGCTAACCCCAGGGTGAAAATTACTCCTAATATCACAAGACAGAATGAAAAGATTCTATAATCACAAAGACGTGTGGACATTAGAATCGATGCGACGCGTACCGTTTAAATTAACCCCTTCTTTAGTGCACAAGYAAGGATCGGTTTTTGTAACAATAAGCTGTCTTGTTCACACGAATGTTGATTATAGTTGATAAGAGCRTAGGTCCCCGTTTTTGTTGATGTAGACCCGCTTTTTAACGAAGTCTGGGCGAAGGATGTTTGCGGGCCTACACTTTGATTGCTGCGGAAAGCTTTTCAATTCTTTCTTTTATAGCCTGGCTATACCACAACACTTTAACCTTGTATTTAAGTGATTTGGGCGTTWACTTTGGCTGAATTAAGCTATTAATCGAAGTCACGATATTTTAAGGCAGTTCAAAGYAACCTTCAAAATGTGGGTTCAAAATAATAATAGTGTTTTTTTGGCCCTAAAGAAGTGTTCTATTTGAATTGCTTAAAATCATGCACGAATTAGCATGTTACCCTACAAATAAATAAAAATAAAGATGCAAAAAACAAATTATAACCGACTTATATTTACTCATTTAGAACAAATTTTTATACATTATATGTACTCATAATTGCTTAAAACTGAGTGATAATTTACAAAAACTCTTGACATGCAAAGTGCGAAATTAATAAAAATTTAAATACTGGTTATGCTTTATTATACGAATATAATTTCTACTAAACAAGATGAATTTTATCAAAGATTTCTCTATATTAATTCAATCAAGTTTCTAAGAATTTTCCGTCGCATTTTCCGTCGCTACAAATTTGTGTACATAAAGAAAATAATCTTTGTGGAATCGAGTCAATACGCTCATATCTCTTAATTAATAACTTTGGTGAACATAATATTTGCAGTTATAAACAAAAAGGAGAAAACACCAAACTAGGGCTCCCAATAATGTAGTTTTTTTGTAAACAAGGATAGTATTTTCTCAATTTAGGGAGATAAACATCGGTTCATTATATGTACTTTCCGCCCTCATGAACGCATAGCACTTTGTTGATAAAATCTGTGATAATAGGACTACTTTTCTATCTGTAATGGTCGCATATATCAGTCCTAATCGTTTGGTTTCTTCTTTCTATTAATTTCTTCTTCTTCATTTGTAAAAAAAAAAAGATCGATTTTTCTTAATAAATTGAATTTTAATAATAACAAACATTTTTTTTCAAAGTTTTATATCAAATTTCGGTAAAATTACTCAGAATGCGGTTTTTTTTTGCGTAATTGAACGGTGTTAAACACTGCTATCTACGGAAAGATTAGTGAAGTAATGTCGGGGTGAAATAGTTTTGGTCGAAATCTAACATATTCGTATTGCTATTAATATTATTATTATTTYAATTGTTATGGTTATAGTGACTAGTGTGACTACATTTGTTATTATAGTGCTGGAGTTGTAGATGTTATTTACAATGATAATTTTATTATTGTTCTCTTACTAGGATCACGTTTTTTTAGTTTTTTTCAGCAATTACTAAGTACTTTTTTTGTTATAATATAAGTATTGTAATTGTTGTTGCAAGAGTCGTTTTTACTATACAAAAAACGACTACTTAGCTTATGATTGYTGTTAAAAAATCCTTAAAAAGTCACAATAAACAGAAAGCACAACCCRCTATTAAACAATTCTTTTCAAGTCAAATTAAAATCGTTCCAGCTTCTTGAAGTGTTATTATTTATAGAGTAATTTTTACTTAACCGGGAAAAAGTTGAAGTGCTATGCAATGGTTGGTAAAACGCTCAAATTGTATTGTTTTCTCTTGTCCTTTACTTACAAGTGTACAAAATAGTAGTTAACGGTTTTCTTTCACTGTCAAACATAAACAAAAATGATTTTATTGTAGTGATGTGTGTTAGTTGWCGCATTATCACTCAATTCAGCTATCAACATTTATGATTAAACAATCAAGGAGAGTTGAGAATGCTATGTTATGTAACAAGTCATAAAACTTCAGCTCCTTCATGTTCTAATCCTGCAATTYCCATAACTGTACATAAACCGGCGTGTTTCCGTCGTTTGAAGATCTAAATGATTTCTCTTGAAAGACATATAAAAAACGCTCATGTGTAGCATTTAAGCTGACATTTCGGTGATCATGCAAAGCCCCCCATTATCAAGTTTAAATAAATATAATAAAGTAACTGTCAAAAATAGAGTTWAAGCGAAATTTAATTATCATTTTTGACATTGACATTGGATAGCTTGATATTGGTGCCAGTTGGACGCCGTATTCTTTATTTTGTTAATCATAAGTTGTTTATTTAAATATTACAACCCTCGTTTATTAGAAAACAAATGTAAATGCATATACTACAATTGGATATATGTGTATATACAAAAAAAACTTTGACATACATAGGAATGTTACGTTTTTCAAGTCTAAATTTAAATTTTGCTTAAAATGAAGTACTTTTATCTTTTTTTTATATCTGTATATTAAAACGATAGCGATGAACAAGAAGCTGTTTTTCACCCATCTACATTTTTCATCGTTATATTTCTAAAAACCTACTCGTGTCAACCTTACTAAAGATAGATATTAAACCGTTTACAAGCAACCAAATCTATAAATTGCCCCGCAAAACTTTGAAATAAAGTCAAAGTACAAGAGTTTGSTATTCTATCACAGAGCTTTCACAGTTTTTCTCAAGGCTTTYCCMGCTCTATCAAGTCCTAAGTGGAYCCAACTGTAAGGAATCATCAGTGACTTAGAGCTATTGTGTGTACGTATACAGCTACCCAATACTGCACTCTCAGTGTATGCAGTGTTCAGCCTTTCTTGAAATTGCTCTATACTAACTTTATTAATCTTGTTATAATCTTCAAACCTCTAAGAAATAAAGATTTTTTTTACTTATTATTAAAAATACTCATTAACTCTATGTTAAATTTAGACCGTTTTTCTCTAAACTTCCGACAACGATTGAATCCGCATAAGTTGGAAGTGATGTTCGCGTTGGTCGAAGGATTGGGCAAAATTTTATTAAATGAACACAACGTTTGTGAAACTGTATCATGCTGATCATTCTTATAATTGTCCTTGATGAACAGGAAAGAGCCTATATTCCTTGAGCTAAAAAGCTCACGCACAACGAACGGTTTGAGAGCGAGAACCGCCCTACCGTTCTTCTTCATTAGAGTAAAAAAAAAAGTATTGTTCGCTTTGTTGTCACATTTTCTTTTTTTTTCCTTTCAAGAAAACTTAGAAAGAAGCTTATATTTCTTTGATATCAATACTCGCGCATATTGAAAGCCTTTAAAACTCGAAAGTCGTGAGTTGTAGTCACTATTAGAACACTAAACCATTGTTTCTTCACAATGAAAAATGAAATCCTTATAGTTTTTGTACGTTTATCAGAAGCGATAAGCTGCTTGCATCAAATAGGTAATGGCCGATGATAAGGTCGCATGTAATTATCACCCAACATGTCAACAGCCTTCTCCTTAAAGGTCTCTTCATTACTCTTAAGGAGTTATGACACACTCACGAATACAGATAAATAAAATACACTTTATCCTTGCGATAGGACTGAGGGAATTCCTCTTTAGAAATATCAATGGCAATTTGCACCACACAGTGTTTTCTTTTGTATTTGACGGATATACTTCACATACGTCAAACGTACACTTGCTAATGTCGTSTTTAGAAAGCCAAAAAGTCGTAATATTCCGTTCCCTAAAATTTAGCACTCAGTCGTGTAGCGTTTGACAGCGTTAAACTTAATGGTTCCGAACAAAACAAGCCAAAAACTGGTGATCTAACAAAAGGCGTCAGTTTTCAAACTTACAAACTACGTTTCCGTGAAATTATCGCTTTAGTTTTATGAACACGTTCGTGTTTATATCGTACATTGAATAATACTAGCAGGCTTAAAATAGCGGCTTAAAATAGCGTCTAGCTAAAGGCTACTTTACATGTACTTTACGCTACACAACAACGCAAGAACCCCTTAGGCTGGCGTGCGTAGTACCTTCGAATCGTCAAAATCAAGCCCAAACGCGCCTACCAATAGATTTATTCACGTTGCATAACGTAAGAATGCAAGAGGCAACCGTACGTTACTCGTTGACTCGTTGACTACCTAAATGGACAGTTTCCATACTTGATATCTTGCGTTCCTCCGCACGTAAGGTTTTTTACGCGGAACTACGTTTACTTACAGTGCACACGCACTCTATACGTTTTTCGGCTAACGTAAACCTTGCTCGCCCGCTCTTTCAGGATCTTTTCTGAAACAAGTACAGCTTTTTGCCAAACAAGCCTGATTTTTTCCTTTACAGTGCTGAAATATTTCCTTCTTGCGTATATATACTGTTGAAACTACGAAGTTGAATTGCAATTTATCAAAAATAAGCTTTAAGTCCAAGAGTCCACTCAATAAAAATTCTCTAATTTAAAAGGTTTCATACGAAATTATTTCCTATCAATTTCATATCAATTGTATATATTACCTTTTTTTCTATCAAATTTAGTTTTATTTATATATGTTTTCTACTTAAAATGCTCTAATTTTGCAAGAGATTTTTATACATAAATTTATGCATTTCGTGTAAAAGCTGAGAAGCGGTTCACCATTTTTCAAGAGGTTTAGGACCAATACACTTAACCTACATCTGTATTTAATTGTACTATTGATTATAGGTATTGATATACTACATTGCGTGTGGGTTTTTTTATTAGATATGATATAAGTCCCATGATTCCATTTGGTCTCTTGCTGAGCCTACAGTAATGCAATACTCCACTTTCGAGATCTTATTTGTGCAGCCTTAACCTCGAAAGCATGTAATATATTCTTTTGTTCAGCAGAGATCCTATTGTAATTCAAATACTCTGTGTACAAAGAAGACAATAAAAATTTATGCTTGATTGAAGCTAAGCTTACATAAAAGAGAATTCGAAACTAGTATTGCAGGGACGCCATTTTGTATTACAAAGTATGATGGGAGTTGTAATCTTTGTACTTTTATGCCCCCTAAAAAATCTWCCTAATATCTGGTTTTATGACACTTCTACTTTTGCAAAGAAAAAGCAAAAAGGCTTAAAAGGAGTGTTAG